AAAAAAAAATCTTGTGATAAATTCATATTTTCAACAATCTTGTAAACCATATAAACAATGATACTCAAATAAATATCTAGATTTTAAAAGTTGTTTTTTATTTTACAGGTTTTTGGATCTCCCCGTAATTTAGTTTATTTATCTTAATGAAGAGAAAGAATTAACAATACTAATTTTGTAGTAAAAAATCTTTTTTTTTCTCTCTCAACATTAAATTCTAGACATATTTGATTTGTTCTTCAAAATTTCTGAGCGTTCAATCATTCTCGTAGAACATTTTGATATTTTCTAACTCCTCTGCTGAAAAATAATTCTTTAACTAACGAAATAAGTAAACATTTAAGAATGCTAGAGAAATACTAAAATACGCATATACGTTAATAGTAATACTCACGGACAGCCGTAGTACATTTGAATTTCCGAGCTGGGTCAACTTTTCCGGTCCCAGTTTATACTGTATCGCCCGGACATTGGGTAAATAAAGCAGACACTCAGTAGGACTAGCCGGTGCAACAAGGTTGACGCGGTCAGACTTTAGGCTAAATTTACTTCTAATAAAGGGTCAGGTGTGCGTGTACTGTCAGAATTATTATTTGTAAAGTTGTACTGAAATGTGTTACATATTAAATGTTTATTTGTTCTTTTTTTTATAGATAAAACTATTATAGAAACGTCGTTAATACTGGTCTAAATTTGACAATGCGATTTTTTTGTACACCCTGTAAACATTAAAAGAAAGTATACTCACAATTTTCCTCAGTGTAGGGTATAATTTCATTTGATTTTGGATCAGGTTTATACCCATACATTGACACCTAAGAGAACAAAATAATATAATTATTTGTTTACTTTATTAACTTGATCAAAGGCTCAATTTACAATAGTAAACTCAATTCCTTTATCTTAGATGATACGTCGTTTTTATATCTTGAAAAAAATAACTTTTGAATAGAAAGTGCTAAATTGTCAATTTTTTATTGGAAACATTCTTATAATATTTTAAACAAATGTTATCCATAGTATTAACCAAATAAATTATCATTTCTCATGTACAATAGTTGGCAGAGTGAATTTTATATATTATTGTCAAATGTGACAAAGTTCCAATCCAGGTTATCAGAATTAAACAATTTTAAACCAAAAAACGACAATAATTTCTACTGTATTAAACATATATGAATATTCAGAATTTAGTTTAAAGGGACCCTTCATTTGTTTGAATTAAAGTTTTAAATTGATTTTCAATTCAATCGCTTTAAAAAAAATGAAACTGTTGTTAGATGTTTGTGACATTTTCCAGGTTTTGGTTTAATTTCTCTTTGGAAAATGTTCACGTGGATCAAAGAATATTCTTCAACATTGTTCTTGTTATTTGCCGTGAACTAACCTCAACAGAATAAACGTTTGTGTCTTGAGATTCAATTGTTTCCGCTAGATGTCTCCGGGCGGTTCCTTGTTTATCAGGATCCTAAACAGATAATAAATCCTGATCTTATACAGATAATACATCCGGACCAAAAACAGGCAAACAATCCGGATCCTATGCAGATCATAAATACGAATCCTTAAAATGTAATAAATCCGGATCCTATTCAGATAATAAATCCTGATCTTATACAGATAATAATTCCGGATCAATTTACAGCTAGTAAATCCGGATCAATATACAGATATTAAATGTACATTGTATTCTCATGCTCTATAATTACCTTTTTGTACATTGTATTCTCATTTTCTATAATTAACTTGTTGTACATTGTATTCTCATGCTCTATAATTACCTTGTTCATTGTATTCTCATGCTCTATAATTACCTTGTTGTACATTGTATTCTCATGCTCTATAATTACCTTGTTGTACATTGTATTCTCATGCTCTATAATTACCTTGTTGTACATTGTATTCTCATGCTCTATAATTACCTTGTTGTACATTGTATTCTCATGCTCTATAATTACCTTGTTGTACATTGTATTCGCATGCTCTATAATTACCTTGTTGTACATTGTATTCTCATGACTAAAATCTTTACAATTTTGAGCCATCATCTTAGGGAAAACAATATGACGCTCATTTCTAAAATTAAAAATTTCTTTTTTGTAAAACTAAATTTTTAAGCGCATATAGTTGTATTATCTTTTCATTTCATAGGTTACAATACAACTAAGGGAAGTAATAACTAAAATGAGGATAGGTATGTAAAGGTAGTAAATCTAGGAACATGATGTACCTAATTTAATTCCTGTTATTTTATTAATAAAAACTAGATAAATGAAAGTAAATAACAAATAAAAAGATGAATAATGAATACATACATAATAAATAAATAAAAACTAAATTATAACAACTAGATAAATAATGATGAATAAAAATAAATATAATAAAAAATAAATAATAAAATGTTCAACCTGAAAACACTGTCGAATGCATTGCCTAGAATAAAAAGACCAAGCATCGTGTTAGAGATGTGAATATCTAACACAAAATCCAGGGGAGTCTCCTTCTAAACATCTCTTCATTAGTTCAATATCATTCATTTCAAGGAAGTGCAAGCTTAACTGTATGTGACCCTCCAAGCAAAGATAGCAATTTCCGATTTACAATGGTACCCTGCGGAAGATATCGTCGTTTTTTCTAGTTCTAGAAATGTTTATTTTTGTGAATTTCTCCATTGTTCATTGTATAAGCAAAAAATAATCAGTTTAAATAATCAAAAACATGAATATCTAATTCATACTTGAGAAGACAAAGATTTTAACGAACCGAACGTTCCATTCTAAATTAAAAACAAGATTAAGATTTAAGATTAAGATTAAGATTTAACAACACTTTTTAAAATTTCAGAAATTTTGAAAGATCTATATATTAACTATTAAATTGACATTCTAAATACAGGCTCATTAGAATATATTCCCTTATATGCACTTCTTAAGATATGGAATAACCTGCCACTTGATTTAAAAAGAAGTGCCTCGTTAGGTATCTTTAAAAAAGTTTATCTAACGCCTACATCTTAAATTGTAATAAACCCTCTTGTTATTCTTGCAAAAAATGAATATAGAACTTTGTAGATTTTTGTACATGCTTAATCTTATTCTGTTAAACGTATTAAACTTTAAAACTGAAAATTCAATTATTTTGTTATGCTGCACCTCGGTTTCGCTAAATCTAACTAGAAATCCCTGACTTATTGTAAACCTTCAAAACCATACATATGGTTAACAATATAAAAATAGTTGCAGCTTGTTTTGCCTATAACATTAGAACCTGTATATGTATTTTTAGCAATAAACGATATCTTATTATATCTTATCTTAACGAACAGCTTTCTGATTTTTGTACGGTTATGATTAACCGTTAACGAAAGGCTTGAGGGAATGGGGTGGGGAAGTCCAGCCCTAGAGGGAAGGGAGGGGGGTAGGGCTATATGCTTACAGATTTAGATAAAGATTGAATAAGCTGATCAACTGCAAACACTGTTGGATTCACATGCTCATCAGACTCATGCCATACACGGTTTAGATCAGTTCCTGGAGAATACAGATTATATATAGATAGGACAGGATCAGTTCTTGGAGAATACAGATTATATATAGATAGGACAGATCAGTTCCTGGAGAATACAGATTATATAGATAGGACAGGATCAGTTCCTGGAGTATACAGATTATATATAGATAGGACATCAGGATCAGTTCCTGGAGAATACAGATTATATATAGATAGGACAGGATCAGTTCTTGGAGAATACAGATTATATATAGATAGGACAGATCAGTTCCTGGAGAATACAGATTATATAGATAGGACAGGATCAGTTCCTGGAGTATACAGATTATATATAGATAGGACATCAGGATCAGTTCCTGGAGAATACAGATTATATATAGATAGGACATCAGGATCAGTTCCTGGAGAATACAGATTATATATAGATAGGACAGGATAATTTCCTGGAGAATACAGATTATATATAGATAGGACAGGATTAGTTCCTAGATAATACAGATTATATATAGATAGGACAGGATCAGTTCCTGGAGAATACAGATTATATATAAATAGGACAAACGCAGTTCTGGGAGAATACAGATTATATATAGATAGGACAGGATCAGTTCCTGGAGAATACAGATTATATATAGATAGGGCAGGATCAGTTCCTGGAGAATACAGATTATATATAGATAGGGCAGGATCAGTTCCTGGAGAATACAGATTATATATAGATAGGACAGGATCAGTTCCTGGAGAATACAGGTTATAAATAGATAGGACAGGATCAGTTTCTGGAGAATACAGATTATATATAGATAGAACAGGACCAGTTCCTGGAGAATATAGATTATATATAGATAGGACATCAGGATCAGTTCCTGGAGAATACAGATTATATATAGATAGAACAGGATCAGTTCCTGGAGAATACAGATTATATATAGATAAGACAGATCAGTTCCTGGAGAATACAGATCATATATAGATAGGACAGGATCAGATCCTGGAGAATACAGATTATATATAGATAGGACAGGATCAGTTCCTGGAGAATACAGATCATATGTAGATAGGACAGGATCAGATCCTGGAGAATACAGATTATATATAGATAGAACAGGATCAGTTCCTGGAGAATACAGATTATATATAGATAGGACATCAGGATCAGTTCCTGGAGAATACAGATTATATATAGATAGGACAGGATCAGTTCCTGGAGAATACAGATTATATATAGATAGGACATCAGGATCAGTTCCTGGAGAATACAGATTATATATAGATAGGACAGGATCAGTTCCTGGAGAATACAGATTATATATAGATAAGACAGATCAGTTCCTGGAGAATACAGATTATACATAGATAGGACAGATCAGATCCTGGAGAATACAGATTATATAGATAGGACAGGATCAGTTCCTGGAGAATACAGATTATATATAGATAAGACAGATCAGTTCCTGGAGAATACAGATTATATATAGATAAGACAGATCAGTTCCTGGAGAATACAGATTATATATAGATAAGACAGATCAGTTTCTGGAGAATACAGATTATATATAGATAGGACCAAGCAGTTCCTATTAAACATAGATTATATATATATAAGTAGGAAAAGACCTATATTATTTGTATTATGTAGATTGAAGATACAGTATACAGTATACCTCTTAAAAAGCTCTCACGTAAATTCAATTATCAATAACTATATCAATGAAAATAAGCTGCAAAATGTTTTTTGAATATATATATTTTATGCTTTAAGTTTAAATTCTGCATCTTTATTTTTGGTGCATTTTCAAAGAAAAAAACTAATCAAAATGAGTTTACAAATATTGCTTAAAAAGAAGTTTTGCAATTTTTGAAATATCTTGAATAAATACAAACCTATTAAAGAACCCCGGTAGTTTCCGAGGAAAACACCGTCAGGATTCATCATGGGAATTATCTAAAAAAGTTGTATAAATTATTATTATACAGTAATAAACAAACAACTGTGGTTTGATTGTCGTCTCTGCTCTTCCTTAAATTAAAGATCATGCCAAAGATTTTGTAATTTGCAATTGTTGCAACTTGCATATTTCTAAAATTATTTAGAACACTTTTAGAAATAATTCAGTTGCAAATAAAAAAATCCACCAAAGTGAAATTACAAAAAAGAGAGAAAAAAAACGCACTTTCTTCTAGTTTCTAGTTCTCACTACATAGAGTTTCAAAAAAGTGGAAACGATATAATCCTAATTATATAAATTTCAAAAGGTTTACCTTAAAAATAAGTTTTTCTCTAAGTTCCTTTGCAATGTTATGCTTAGACAAAAGGAAATCAATTAAGCCTGAAAAATAAAAAAGAAATTAAGAAATGTTTTAAAACTAAAATGTTCCTTAGTTCCGGTGGTTTCAAAAGCAGCCTCATAAATGGACGGGCAAAGGGAGGCAAAAAAGAGAAACTGCGGACGTGCAGATGGAGAAAGGAGAAAAAAGATGAACATTTGGAATTATTGACTATGCCTCTTACCATTTTAAACTTAGTTCCGGGTGGATGTTTTCTATTTTGAACAAAATGCTTTGTTCGGCAAACACAGGAGGATGAGGATTCAGGGAGAGAAATGGCGGAAAACAAAGAAAAGCGCATATACTGCTATCTACATATATATATATTTTTTTCAAAATCTGTTTCATATTTTAAGTTGCGGGATATGTAATGTAGAAATAGAACAAGAAAGACAAAAGAGAATTTCGGAAATGGCTGCTTGCTTAACTTTAAAATGGCGTCCAGGTGGATTATTACAAGTCGTCTTTACTTTACCTTGAACAACAAACGAAGACGGACTTTCTCCCGGATGTTGCCTCCCGAGCACCATTACTATCCTCTTCTTTACAGGCTCCTGCTCATAAATCATGCTTAATACTAGGGGCATCGTTTTTGTCAACAATTGGTGTTGATCAGAGAAAAATGAACGATGGACCAACGACTTGGATCGGTCTGAGAAATAAAAAACGATAGTTTTTAAAAACGAACGCATAAACGAACTTAAAACGAACGATTTTGAAAAACTATCGTTTCTTTTACTGAACGAACAATGTTTTAAAACAAACTTAAAAAACTATAGTTTTTTTTGTTTACTGAAAGAATGATCAATTTTTTAACGTTTTAAAAAAAACATAAAAGAAACGGGTCGTTTATTTTTATGGTAGCATGTCTAATTCCCATCAAAGGTACTCTTTAGCTAGTCATGTTAACAAAAAAGATGTTATCAGGTCCTATATAAACTGGTAGAAAAATATGTTATCAGGTCCTATATAAACTGGTAGAAAAATATGTAAAGTATCTAAATATATAAAAAAGATGTTATCAGGTCCTATATAAACTGGTAGAAAAATATGTAAAGTATCTAAATATATAAAAAAGATGTTATCAGGTCCTATATAAACTGGTAGAAAAATATGTAAAGTATCTAAATATATATATTTGAAAAAATGGTATTTTCTGTCATTAATTTTCATTTGAAAATTTCACTGAAAAATGATGTTTATCTAGAAAGAAATTGTCAACTCAAGTTTTATGTCATAAAAAAAACAAGAGAGGTAAGAAGCACACAAAATAAAAAACTGGACACGAGGCGCTCTGAATATTTTAGATCAAGATCCATATTTTTACCTCGGTTATTGCATTTGGCTCCGTTATAGTCAAAAGATCTAGATTTCTCCCCTAGGAATAGTTCTTGTAATATTAAATCATAACATAATCTTTTAACCAAAACATGTCATAACGTTCTAGGGCAACGTACTCATACAGTGATACCAGATAACTCTGAAATATGAAGACGACTTTATGAATCAAATTATAACATTAAAAAGATAAATAAACATAGCCACAGCAATGGTGCAGTGTAAACAGATTCATTTCACAAATATTATTAGTTTAATAAGAACTGGTAAAACTGTTTGCTTTGTAACAGCAACAAATACGATTAAATATTGATATAATGTCGTCTTACTTTTCCATTGTATTTGTTTATCATTATATTGTAAATTCACAAAACGTTGACTAATAGCTTACTATCAAACTTAATTACTGAAATACAAAAGACAAAACTTTTTTTAAAATTTTGTCCATATATTTTTTTACCTTGATAGATTTTGATATTACTTCCCTTGTAACAAGAGTTGGTTTCTTCGCTAATATTTCATCAATATACAACTGAAAAAAAAATTAATAATAAAATTAGGTAAAAAATATTTCATTAATAAATTTTAATTTTCATAATATGCGCCCTCGGGTTTAATACTTAACACAAACTCTTATTTTTCATTCACTATATCTACGTAACCTGATATTTCAAACTTTGACTGTTTGATCTATAGGAGTTTGAAATACCAAAGGTCTGCGACGCCATTATGAAAGGATTAGAAAATTAGACTTTTCAGTTCCATCGCAGATTTAATTTTCTGAAAGTTTTTTGTATCTAAATAAATATTTTTATTTCCGAGTCAATAAATGTTTACAATTTATTTGTTTAACATACTGTTATACGGTTTTGACATTTTGATATAAATTACATTTAAAATTGTGCCAATTGATAGTCAGAACTAATTTTGTATTTACGGAATAACTTTTTAAGTTTTTTTCATAAAATTATTATTTCTGGGATTTAAACTTGTGAATGTTATTTTTTTTTTCAGAAAGTCAGGTGTTAAAACAGAAGTACACTGATTTCCATACTATTATAGTTCAGATTCTGAACGAGAACATCTTATTATTTTTGAGGTTTTGATATGATAAATAAATCAATAGATCGGAAGTTTTATCAACTGGTTTTAAAGTCAAAATAAGTTATTTTATATTTAAAATAAGTTTTCTGAAAGTAAAACACCATATTTTCTTAGTTTTGTTAGTCTAGTTTCCTGTAATGCCATTAACATCGGTCGCGCGGTCTTCAAAAAAGTTCTTCTAAAACTCCAGATATAAAAAAACTTTTTAATCGAAATCTAGCGAAACAGTATCATAAAAGTTTACCTGTAGTCTTGAATATGAGTAGGGATAGCAACAAGAAAATTGATACCTTTCCTCATCCCTAGTTATACAATGAAAACTGTTATCTTTCCTCATCCCTAGTTATACAATGAAAACTGTTATCTTTCCTCATCCCTAGTTATACAATGTAAACTGATATCTTTCCTCATCCCTAGTTATACAATGAAAACTGTTATCTTTCCTCATCCCTAGTTATACAATGAAAACTGATATCTTTCCTCATCTCTAGTTATACAATGTAAACTGATATCTTTCCTCATCCCTAGTTATACAATGAAAACTGTTATCTTTCCTCATCCCTAGTTATAAAATGAAAACTGATATCTTTCCTCATCTCTAGTTATACAATGTAAACTGATATCTCTCCTCATCCCTAGTTATACAATGAAAACTGTTATCTTTCCTCATCCCTAGTTATACAATGAAAACTGACATCTTTCCTCATCCCTCGTTATACAATGAAAACTGATATCTTTCCTCATCCCTAGTTATACAATGAAAACCAGAAAACCATGGAATATAAGAAGCAATATCTAAGTGTATTTTTAGTTTTTCTTAATTACACATCAGAGCCCGTGATTTAAAAACTTCGGCTCGAGCCGTAATTTCTTAAACCCGACTTTAAGAACCAATCTTTGACCCAACTCTGACGACAGCTTGTGTCACGTGATTGACAGTTTCGAGATCTTCGGCTCGACTTAAGGAGTTAGGCCCGATGAAAATTAAACCGGCCGGTTTTTTTTAACTCAACTCTGTAGAAAATAAGATGCAGCTTGAATCCGAAAGCTCAAGGCTTCAAATAAGGCCCAACGACAGCTTAAACCTGAGCAGTATTTTCCCGATTTTTTTAATCGCCGGCTCTGGTTATTTAAAATCAAGCAAGAATTTTTGCATATTTGAAATGGCATGGTCAAGGGCTTTTTAAAAATGCACATGATAGGAGGAAATAGTCGGTTTTGAATCTTAAAACGCGTTGAATTTTGTCATTCTTCTTCTTTGTCTTAGCAAGTCGGATAGTTAATTTTGGCAAACAAATTTCAAAACGAAGGGTGAAGTGTTGTGATTGCGATTATTTAAATGGAGGTTTACTTAAAATAAACAAAATGAATAAATCAACCTTAGATATTTTAAACTATGAATTCGGTTAGATTAAATATTTCAAATATCAAAAAGATCATATATTAGATGCTTTCTTTTTCTAATTAAAGTAAAAATACTTTTACAAAAAATGTCAGGGTCGGAAAGGAAATGAGTTTTTGTAACAAACTCAGATTGTTTAAACCCAATATCTCTGCAACTGGATGGTGTAAAACTTTAATACTTCAAACTCAAATTTTTTTATCTACCAGAATTCATAGTTTGAATATCTGAGGCCTACGACATTGGGTTGCAAAGTTAAAACAATAAGAACATTTTAGTTTGTGGCAAAGACTCAATTCATTTCAAGAAAAATAGAATAAAACCAAACCAAACATTTTCAATTTCTATTTTCCGTTTTAAAATAAAGGTAAATTTATTTACAAAATTTGTTCAAAACTCTAATTCAAGTAAATTCGCTAAGTTTTCTATTTTAATTAAATTCATTCATTAAAAAATGTAGCATTTGTAGCATTTACCTGTCAAAAGCAAATGCGAAGGATAAGACGAAATTATTGCTGTGCTCTGGGGACTTGTAATAATAAACATTCTCACGAGGAATACGTTGCCTATTAAAGAATCAATATACAGGGTGTCCCACGGAATATGACAGTTGGTAAATAGTTTTGAATGTCTTCTTCAATATACTGTATTCTTTTGAGAGTAATAACAAGTCTATGATATAGTTTACTAGCAATATATTTGTAGGTAATAAACTACTATGCAGGAGAACATGTTGATCCGATGCAGGTTGGAGAACTACTGGATTTTCTTAGGTTATCGTTTCTCTACCGTATTTTATATCATTATTTCGAGGATTACTAGTTTTGATTTAGAGAGAAAATCCATCCTATGCAATATCATATTAAAGACTTTTCGCAGTTTATTTCGTTAAACAATTCTTTTACTCAAATACATTTTACTTTGAAATCAAATTTACTATTTTATGAATGCCATATATTATTTTTTAATACTAGTACTTTCCTGTTGAGACAAATCGGTCAAGGGTTCATTAGTTATGATTAGAAATCAATTAAGACAGACAAACATATATACATATATACAATATATATATATATATATATATATATATATATATATATATATATGTTAAATATTTGCTTCTATTGAGTAAATATTATCAATATTTACTGTACTCCAAATAACTTAGATATAAAGTTTACACTTTTTCTCAAAAAAATCGATAATGTATTACTGTAAAGGTTCGAATCTCGACTCTCGAGATTGGTTTTATTTAAAACCAAATCTGTCCTCGACATATTCTGAGATCTTTATAAGCTTACAGTCAGGTTTTACTTTGATTTATGTTTTAAATCTTTTAAAATTTTAAAAGAATAGAGTTTTGCCACAAACTCTAATTTTCTAATCCCTATATGTCTGCAACCAAATGGTTTAAACATTTGATATTTCAAACTTAGACTACTTGATCTAACAGACTTAATAATTTAAAATATCGAAGGTCTTAGAAATCGAGTTGCACAGATATAAGAATTAGAGAATCAGAGTTTGTGGCAAAAACTAAATTCCTTAGTTACCATTTAGGTCTTGATGTTGAGCGCACAATCGGTGTCATTCCCTTGGCGAACAGGTTTCTTGTTTTACTGTTGTTCAGTTTAAATTAAATATGAAGGGCCTGAACAAGCATCTCTGGTAGAGAAGGGCATCGTTTTAGTGAACGAACGAAATGTTTGAGAACGAACAAAGTTTTTCGTGAACGATGGCGTTGTCCAGAAAAAACGAACGATGGATGACGAGAGAAATGAAAAACGATAGTTTTTTAAGACAAACGAAAAAAAACAAAAACGAACGTTCCAAAACTGTTTGAATTCGATTTTGATTATTCATAAACGATTTCGTTCGTTTTTTACTGGACGAATGAATTTTTCACAAGATAAAAAAACGTTGTATACGAACGAACATAATGAAAAAAGGCGAACGCGGTCATCTCTAGTCTTTTGAGGATCTCCAATATCTCACTTTTTATAACTTTAATAGAGATAATAAACAGTTGATTTATATACTAGAGCAAAAAAAAATAACTAAATAACAATTCATTCATTTGTGAAACATTTGAGACTTAACAAATAGAATTTTAATCTTCAATCGATTATTTCATGTTTTTTGAACTGTTCCTGATATTAACAATGTTGAAGATAATTCTTTGATCCACGTGAACATTTTCCACAGAGAAATTAAACCAAAACCTGGAAAAAATCGCATACAAGTAAGTCCAAAAACCGTTTCATTTTTTTAAAAAGCGCGATTGAGAATCATTAATTTTTTATTTAAATGCCTGTTAAGGGGCACTTTAAGGTTGTTTAGATAGTCCATTTAAAGGGACTGTAAGCGTAATTTCAGATGATCTTCCATTTAAAACTGGCAGAGCCCGATTCACAACGGTACTAATAAAACCTATATCTCACGCACCCCTGACCGAGGGGAGGAAGGCCAACCACATCTATCTCTAGTCCGAATCACATTATCCTCATTTTCTCGTCCGAACCACATCGAAATCAATCAGAAATCAATGAATCAGAAATCAATGAATATTTTGTATGGGTTGAAATGGAAAGATTAAATACCATGTTCACGCGAATTCTTTGGTATAAATTTTTATTTGTGAAAGTTATCCATTTTGGAGGCAGAAGATATTCAATTTTTAACCTAAATAATGTTTGACATCATTCTCGTGGATTTGGAGATTCCAACATCTCAAAATCCTTGGAAAACTTTATTCTAGTCATGGTTTATGCCCTAACGTCGGCATATTTTTAAAAAATGTATTTATTTTCAAAAAAATAATATTGAAAGGACGAGGATTTCGAGGTGGTTCGGACGAGAAAATGAGGAGAATGTGGTTCGGACTAGAGATTGATGTGGTTGGCCTTCCTCCCCTCTCTGACCCTTTAGTAAAAGTAAATTCAACCTAAAGTCTGACCGCGTCAACCTTGTTGCACCGGCTAGTCCTATTGAGTGTCTGCTTTATATACCTAATGTCCGGGCGATACAGTACCAACTGGGACCGGAAAGGTTGACCCGGCTCGGAAATTCATATGTAATACTGCTGCCCGTGATCTGATCAATGATAATGGAAGATATTGTAGTTTTCCTATGTTAAAACGTATTAAGTTCTAATAATTCCTTTAGTTTTCCTTCAGTAAGATATATCACATTTGAAAATAACTATTTTTTTAAATTATAAACTAACTTTGATATCAATTTCATACTTAATCAAACAAAGTTTTTAAGGGTGATTTGGGCATAGCAATCTCTGCATGGAGGGTCACTTAAACATTACGCTTACAGTCCCTTGAGGTAGGAAATATGTGTTTCTACCTGTATCTTGGGTTGCATGTATCTGGTCTGATAAACAAATCATATTCATAATCATTAATGAAATCAACTCGACCAAGGTTTCCTAAAAATAGCATTTAAAGGAAAAAAATCTTGTTAATTTTTTTTTTTTTTAAGCTGGTATTCAATAATTTCAAGACAAAATTCCACAGTTCTTCTCTCAATATTTTAATAAAAGCTTTTCCCAACCGTTTTTCAAAAATAAAAGAAATGATTTTTGATTAAAAAGAATTAGAATTTATTATTATGTTGTTTAATAAAAAAGTTAATATCTATAGAACCTGTTTCATAAATAGCATCAAAACATAGATGCCCCTTCTTAGCCTTTCCTGTAAATAAAGCAGATGAGAGGTTCAGCTGGATTCATAAGTTATATAACTATTTTTTTTGATAAGAATAGTTTGATTATTTAGGATTATAAGTGAGATACTAAAATCCATGAAACTGAAATTGGATTCTGGAACGACTGAAACTGAAAAGATTAACTGTTGAATCCTTGGGGTGAAAGGACAGTATCCTAGGACTGAAAGGGTTAAATATTGTATCCTAGGACTGCAAGGGTTAAATATTGTATTCTAGGAATAAAAGGGTTAAATAGTGTATCCTAGGAGTAGGACTGAATGGGTTACATATTGTATCCTAAGACGGAAAGGGAAAAGTGTATCACACAACAGAAAGGGTTTCATATTGTATACTAGGAATGAAAGGGTTAAATATTGTATCCTAGGACTGAAAGGGTTAAATATTGTATCCTAGGACTGAAAGGGTTACATATTATATTCTAGGACTGAAAAAGTTAAATAGTGTATCCTAGGACTAAATGGGTTAAATAGCGTATCCTAGGACTAAAAGAACGTAAATATTGTATTCTAGGAATGAAAGGGTTTAATAGTATATCCAAGGACGGAAAGGGTTACATATTGTATCCTAGGACGGAAAGGGTTAAATAGTGTATTCTAGGACGGAAAGGGTTAATTATTGTATTCTAGGAATGAAAGGGTTAAATATTGTATTCTAGGACGGAAAGGGTTAAATATTGTATCCTAGGACGGAGAGGGTTAAATATTGTATCCTAGGACGGAAAGGGTTAAATATTTTACTGCCTTTTGACATTACCGACCTATAACTCCTCCAACAGAGGGAAGTTATGTTAAGAACCACAGGATCTCTTGAACAATTTTGTCAATTTTGTCAAGACCAATTGGTTATTGGAACCCTTGATTAAGTAAAATTCCCTTAACTTCCTGTAAAGTCGTTGTAAATAATTAGCACCCCCCGATTAAAAGGTTTAAATATTGTCCCACCGGACTGAAAGGGTTAAATATTGCACCCCGGACTGAAAGGGTTAAATTTTGTCCCCCCGGACTGAAATGCTTAAATATTGTCCCCCCGGACTGAAAGATTTAAATATTGTCCCCCGTACTGAAAGGTTTATATATTGCACCCCAGACTGAAAGGTTTAATATTACCTGAGTGTCCGGGAGGACGCATAACTACTCTCTCAACATTCCCGAGACCTCCCTCGTTATCACTGTCATCTGAATCTAAAGCGTTAATATTCAGTTTCATGTCGGGTTAGGTCGACCTAAAAGCTAACAATATGTTCCTGCATGCTAAAAATAGGTTCAGGTTCCTGCTGTCTAACAATATGTTCCTGGTTTCTAAAAATGTTCCTGCTGTCTAACAATATGATCCTGCTGTCTAACAATATGCTCTTGCTGTCTAACAATATGTTCCTGCTGTCTAACAATATGTTCTTGCTGTCTAACAATATGTTCCTGCTGTCTAAAAATATGTTCCTAATGTCTATCAATATGTTTCTGCTAGTTAACAATATGTTCCTGCTGTCTAACAATATGTTCCTGGTTTATAATGAATGTTCCTGCTCTCTAAAAATATGTTCCTTTCCTGCTGTCTAACAATATGTTCCTTCTGTCTAACAATATGATCCTGCTGTCTAAAAATATGTTCCTGGTTTCTAATGAATGCTCCTGCTGTCTAACAATATGTTCCTGCTGTCAAGCAATATGTTCCTGCTGTCTAATAATATATTCCTGCTGTCTAACAATATGTTCCTGCTGTCTAGCAATATGTTCCTGCTGTCTAAAAATATGTTCCTGCTGCCTAACAATATGCTCCTGCTGTCTAACAATATGTTCCTGCTGTCTAACAATATGTTCTTGCTGTCTAACAATACGTTCCTATTGTCTAACATTATGTTCCTGCTGTCTAAAAATATGTTCCTGCTGTCTAACATTATGTTCTTGCTGTCTAACAATATGTTCCTACTGTCTAATAATATATTCCGGACAGCTTTCAAAATGTTCTCGACGTCCAAAATTATGTCCCTGACGCCGAAAAAGATAAAGATTTCTTGGGAAAATTATTAATATTATGATTTGTAAAGATACTATATTATTTATTGCATCTGGTGTTATGATAAAAAGTTAAGAATTGTTTATCACAACTTAGAAAATCTTTTCCAAAGTTTTGTCAGGCAATATTTTTATCATATTAGTTTAGATAATACATAATTTATATAATTTTCTTCATAGAGTATCAATTTGCAATTGTTAATAAATTCGGCACATATTTAAAGGAACTGTAAGCGTAATTTCAAGTGACCCACGATTCAAAGATTGTAATGCTCAATTCACAACGGTACCCTTAAAAGCTTTTTCAATTGGGATTTCTCTTTAAAAGTTACTTGCGCATTTCTACTGCAGGAAAATATATAGGAATAATCCGAATTAAAGGGAGTGACCGGCAATATATGGTAGTTGAACTGAGAATACAGTTTTGTAAAGAAATCTTTTAGATTCATTTGAGACTTATCAGACGTTTTTACAGTGCATATTTGTTCAGCAAGAGTGCAAATTAAATTTCAAAAATCCTCCTTTATTGACTATCCTGGAGAGATGATTTTATTGAATAATTTTCAAAAAACTGATTCTCAAAATCATTCCTCAAAAATGGACAATCTAGGACGATTCAAAGATTGAATTTGCGCTCTTGCTTAACAAATATGCACCGTAAAAAGTCTAAAGGTCTTAAATGAAACCTAAAAAATACTCTACAATAATACATTCTCAGTTTAACTGCCAAACATTGCCGGTCACTCCCTTTAAAATGACAATATCTTCCACATTATTGATCAGATAAAGGTTTCAAGAGTATCGCTAGGAATCGGGTATGTATACCATCTTTGCATGGACTATAGAGAGTCACTTGAAACTACGCTTAAAGGGAACGTTTGTGAGAATGTAAAGGGTACGCCTACGCGGATGATTACGCTTAAAGGGAACGTTTGTGAGAATGTAAAGGGTACGCCTACGCGGATGATTACGGATTAAATTTATTTTGGATTTCAAAGGTTTTGATTATCAATACCGTAATTTTGAAACTATCCAATAAAGATAAAGGAATTGAGTTTTTGCCGCAAAGTCTGATTTTCTAATCTCTATATCTTTGAAACCCAATGTATTAGACCTTAGATATTTCAAACTATTAATACTTATAGATAAAATAATCTATGTTTGAAATATCAAAGGTTTGCATTAAAAGATTGCAAAGATATTGGAATCAGAAGATTTTAGTTTGTGGCAAAAACTCAATTCCTTTGAATAATTCGTTTCCATAGGCAGACTTCAAACAGTTTTCACGTAATATTGAGATTAATCCAAAATTGTTTAATAATTGCATTATTTAAATCTTAATACGTGTACTTGTTGTTTCAATATATTGTAAATATAGCAAATATTTGAGTTATGTATTTTTTTTTGTTATTATTATTTTTTAACAATAACAAATGGTTCACCTTTTGCAAATTAACAAGAATTGATTGTTTTGCAAATCTTACAGAGACAACCAGAAAACTGTGGAATAGGAAGACGACATTAAATCAATAATTAAGTGTAAATGCGATGTTGTTACAATTCAAATAGTTTTGCAGTAACTTATCAAATTAATTGAAAAATCAGTCTGTTTCCACAACATAATTGCTTTGTCTCATGTTCATTTGACTCTATTTGAAATCATAACTTAAGTAACTTAAGTCGTTTTTCTATTCCAGAGTTTTCTCGTTTTCACTGTATGTGAATCAGAGATATTTATATAATTTTTTTTGTAACTTAATAAATTGTTAGTTTTAAACCTAAACTTAACATATTACCATCGCTTTGATCACAGATCTCGTTAACAGTCGGAATACGCCGACGTGAAATGGCGGCCATCTTGGATTTAACAAAATTCGAATCTTAGCTTTAATTTGTTGGCTCCAAATTTAAAGTGACTCTGCACTTCTATAGTGCCATCTCTGATTCACTTCGTTACGAACAGACAAGAATGATTAAGATATACGTGTTATTAACAATAAAATTTTTTTTTTTTTTCAATTTTGGGTTCTTAGTAAAAGTGACTAGCGGATTTCTGCTACAGCAACAATGAAAGATCCATTCAGACACTATCCGTTAAAGTTTTAAAGTAGGTAGCGTTGTGAATCAGGTCTCCACCTATTTATGGAGGGTCACTTAATTGAAAGCAACAATCCCTTTAACTCTCACTGTTGTCCTTTCTCCGTAAAAAGGTATAACTGGTATAACTGGTATAACTGGTATAAAAGGTATAGCTGGTGAAGAAATGAGAAAATATTGTCAAATGTTTCTCTTGATCAGTATCTAGAGAAACTAAACTATTTAACTCAATAATATCGATAATATCTGTTTTTTTTCTGTTCTACAACTTCTAAACTTCTAATTATTTTGTTTTTTCCTAATCGAGGACGACATTTTGGAGTTTATATAAGAAAATATTTAAAATTCAATTGCAGAATCAAGGTATAGAAGTGCCCCTGGAAGAAAAAAATTAAGAAACGTCTATTTTTGAAAATACCTCAAAAAAAAATAAACTTTCTTATTTAGTATATCGTGCTGATTATTTTTAAATAGCAAAAATTGTAAATCTTTTTTGCAACTATTTAATGACGTTTTACGAGCGCCACACGGTGGGATATTTTGTGGGTTAGGGGCGGGGGTGACTGGTTTTTGTCACAAAACTCCTCTTAAAATGCATTTGTCTTGTGTTTCATGTTGAGAATGGACAAAATTAACATATTCTGATAATCTTTTCATTTACAAACATTGTATGAATTGTAGCTGGCATTGGTTTATAATGATCTCAATTTTAATTACTTTTCCTGGTCATACATTTATCCTTGAATAGATCCTGTAAACCCGCAATATATTTAGATGTCGTCTTTGCTACAATAATCTATTTCGGAAGAAAAATACATATTTTGTAGCAAATGTACAAGAAAGCACAGCGGTTTCGGTATACTCTCAATATATAAATAGATTCTAACAGCCATGTAAAAAGATTTTGGGGCGTCGGCAGCTCGCCAAAACCTTGATTTAGTCAGAGTAGCGTGTTGAAAAATCCTAGTTTAAGAGTTTTCCATGACATAGCGGGGTTTCGGTCGAAATTCTCAACTAAAACATGACATTTAAACATCTTAGAGACTCCTTTCAAAAACAAATTCTTAAGCGGCCAAGCCATATTGATTGAATAAACTCATTTTGACTGACCCCCCCCCCCCAACCCCACCGTGCGCCGAACCTTTCACTACTTAAAGTTGTATGTAGTATGTACGTAACAGTAACAGCGTGCACTGCAAGGAAAGCAGCAAGTAAATTGAAATCAGAACAAAAAGGAAATGAAAAATAAAAGATGATTTTCAAAATGGAAGCAACACTAGGTAAAAGGATCATAACCTTTCTTTAAACATAAATAATATTTTAACGTTGATTTTAATGTTTCGTTTTTTGGGGAAAAAAATCAGACAATTTTGTAGATAACTTGCAAAAAAAGAGCACATTTGAAATCCCGGAAATCGGAAAATATTTCATGATTTTTTTAAAGCATGCCTATTGTTAATGGTGTAATAATAATTATTGTTTATATAGAAGATTGGTTTTTTAATAACCTGTATCAAAATAAAATAAAAAGACTTTTAAAAAACAAACCAAACAAAATTTGATTACCTTAAAAATTTATTCTTATTTGTATATCATCTTATCTCAAGATGGAACGGTTTTCCTCTATAAAACACAATAAAGTCCCCTGCTTCTAAGGTTTCCATCACAATTACTTTTTATTTAATTTAAGGAAAGTTTGACAATTTTTTGTTAAATATTGCCTTTAATACTAACAACAGATATAGAAAATTAGCCCTTGAGAAAATTTTGAATTTGTACAGATAAGTTAGCCAACATACAGATCAAGTTTTGCGCTATTTTTGCGCTATGGAAACTCAACCCGCTTCTAAACTTTTCGAAATTCCTTTTCTTGAATTTTCGTTCTAATAAACTTAACAGGCTAATGTTTTGCTCTGTATTTTTAAATGAACAGATTGATATAAAAATCGTTGGACCAAATTCACAATGTTATATAAATGTTCGAACTGTATTTTAGAAATATCGAACACAGTGAAAGGATTTATGTTAACATACAGTGAGACCCATAAAACTGTGGATTTATAGGAAGGCGA